AATAAAATAAAATAAAATAAAATAAAAATAAAATAAAATAAAATATAAAATAAAATAATAAAATAAAATAATAAAATAAAAATAAAAATAAAATAAAAAATAAAATAATAAAATAAAATAAAAATGAAATAAAATAAAATAATAAAATAAAATAAAAATAAAATAAAATAATAAAATCCCTGACATTGGCCAGGCCCACCGAGTGGCTTCTGGTTACTTAGGCAAAAATACATTGTAAAAATGTCTATGTTTTGTTGGTAACCCTGCTTGCTACATTTTCATGCTTTTCTCTANCCCTGACATTGGCCAGGCCCACCGAGGTGCTTCTGGTTACTTAGGCAAAAATACATCGTAAAAATATCTATGTTTTGTTGGTAACCCTGCTTGCTACATTTTCATGCTTTTCTCTATTAAAAAAATAAATAAAAAATCCCCTGAGATGAATATTTAACAGCTACACAGGGTGCCTGTGTCCGCCTGCCAGAAAAACACACACATAAAAACACACACATAAAAAAACCCCACACACACATGAATTTAAAAGGAGGCAACCCTGTCTTAAGTCAAAATCACTTTTTTTTTTTTACTCAGTTTTTTTTGATGCAAAATTAAGTTAAACACACACACACTCACCTCTCCACCGTCTAAAATCCCCAGATCCCTGCATGTACATTCTCCTGAATAGTAAAATTTTATGAACAACCGAGCAAGAGACTTCCTAGTATGTTACTTCAACGGCCTGGATTTCTCGGTCGTCTGTTTCCCTTGGTAAGATTTAAAAAAATAAAATAAAAAAATAATAATTGTAGAAGAGGAAATTTTTAGTGTTTCTCAGCAAACCACACGGATTTGACAGCCGGGTGGTCTCTGCGTCAGATGCCGGAAATAGGAGATTTTTTTTTTTAGCAGAAGGGCTTTCTAAATTCCTGCATCATTGGGGCACACGCCTTTCCATCTGAAACTCCTGGGAGGGAAACGGTCGTAAATGGTAGTGAGAAGGCCGTGTTTTTTGCATGGCGACCACCGTTAACTATGGTGGGCTTCCCCACTTCTCAGGAATCAGGGCGGTCCCAGGCTTTCTGGGTTCCTTCAGGCATAAAATGTGAATGGCATCCATGGGTCACCTACACGGACGTCCCTTTTGCTGGCTCACGTTGGATGGAATATATATATATATTTTTTGCAAATTTACCTTCTCCAGGGGAGGTGTCGTTCAAGATCCGAGTTCCCCAAACCTGGGGAGACGATGATGGATTTTTATTTTTTGTTTGTTCCTTATGTTATTGCTAATTCTCACCTGAGGATGTTATTTCCATTGATTTTTTCTTTTTTTTTAAGAGACGGTGGAACAGAGGGAGGGAGAGGGAGAGAGAGAAAAACATAGATGTGAGAGAGACGCATCGATTGATTCCCTCGTGCACTTGCCTCAACGGGGGCTGGGGATCGAACCTGCAACCCAGGTACGTGCCCTAGACCTGGAATTGAACCCACGACCCTTTTTTTGTGTGTTGATGCTCTAACGACTGAGCAACATGGGCCAGGGCCTACCTGTATTTTTTTTTTTATATACATTTTTATTGATTTCAGTGGGAGAGACAGATAGAAACATCATTGATCGGACCCCTGCTGGGGGTGGAGCCCACAACCCGGGCAGGTATCCTGACCGGAAATCGAACCTCAATCTCCTGGATCTTAGGTCGATGCTCAACCACTGAGCCACGCCGGCCGGGCCCTGCCTGGATTTTTAATGCTATTTGCTTTACAGACTCAACTTCTGCTGTCTCGTTTAAGCAATTTTATAAATAGTTTCCTGTTCCCCCCCACACACACTCAAAGAAGTTATAATAATTTTCTATGTATTACTAGGTGCTTATTCCATCTAGATATTTTCGTATGTAAACAGCGAGTTAGGCATCGTGTCAGTTAGCTACGCTGCGTAACAAATGATCACAAATTTCAATGCACCAGCCACATATACACTTTGTATCTCCCATTTCAGGGCTGGGTAGATACAATGTTGCCGAGCTACATTTTCAGCTCAGGGTCCGGTCACACACGGCTGAAATCAAGGTGTCGGTCCTCAGGGCTGTGCTTCTCTCTGGAGGCTACAGGTAAAAATTCACTTCCAGATGCATTTATGGTGTTGGCAGAACTGGTCTTCTTTTCACACCTGGAATCTATCCGTTCACTTCTCCTGCTTTATTATTTTTTTAATCCTCAACTGAGGATATGATTTTATTTATTTATTTTTTTTTGAGAGAGAGAGAGAGAGAGAAACGTCGATTGGTCGCTTCCCATATGAGCTCCAACCTGGAATCGAACCCGTTACCTAGGCATGAGCCCTGACCTGACATCAAACCTACTACCTTTTGGGGTACAGGTTGAACGCTCCAACCAAGTGACCCACCTGCCCAGGGCCTCTTCTGCTTTTCAGGCCTCATACGATTACATTTAGGTCCTCTTGTCCTAAACGCAATTGAGCAGAAACCGTAATTACAATGGCAAAGTGCCCTTTTTTTTCTTCTTTAAAATAATTCAAGATATTCATGGAATTGCTGCCAGGATGGGAAGGCCCCCAGGGACCAAACTCATGCCTATCACAGGGATTTAACTTAATGTTTTCTTTTCTTTTTAGATATGTTTTTATTGATTTTGGAGAGAGAAAGGGAGAGGGAGGGAGAGAGAGAAACACAGATGGGCCGCCCCCTGCTGGGGATCGAGCCCACAACCCCAGGCAGGTGCCCTGACCTGGAATCGAACCAGCGACCTTCTGGTTCATACGGTGGATGCTCAACCACTGAGCCACGCCAGCCGGGGTATTTATGGGCTAATTGTCCATCAGCACCCACTTTCATGAGCATTTTTTCTCCGCTACGTCCCCTGTTCTGACAGCACGTCTTGTCCCTGCTGTTCCTCGACGGCCTTAATCTCAAAGCAAACACACAGGCCAACGAGGCACATTTTGGGGGTGGTGTAGCTCTCGTGAGCAGCTGAACTTGGGGTTTCTAGGGGATCGTAGTTGGAAAGATAAGTGGTTTTCTGAGAATAACCGGAAGATAAGAGCGTGTGATAATCGGAGGAGCCCCCTAGAGAGGGAACTTGAGGTGGGTCTTTCTCTATTCTGAGTTCTGGGAACAGGGTCCGCCCTGAAAAGAAATTTATGGAGCTTAATTTCCTGGAAGCTGCCACTTTGGGTCAGATAAGGGAAGCCCCAAGAAGGCTTTTTTTTTTTTTTTTTTTTT